AGAATCCTTGATGTCGTGACTTCGGGTAATTCTTTCCTTGGGCTAAATATAAACTCCAATGGTCTATGATCACTTAATAGAAATTTTTTCCCAATTAAAAATTGTCGGGCTCTGGTAATTGTCCACACAATAGCCAATGCTTCTTTCTCTGTTCGAGTAACTAAATTCAGTGTTCGTTAACCTTCTCGATAAATACATTATCGGATGTCCTTCTTGTGATAATATTCCCGATATTGAATGTTCACTTGCATCTGTAGTGAGTGTTATGTCCTTTTTTGGATCAAAAATTTTCACTACAGGTTTCTTTGACATTATTTCTTTTAATGTTTCAAAAGCTTTCTGCTGTTCGCCTGACCAGATAAATTCTACATTTTTTTCTTAAATTTGCAAACGGTTCCGTCAAGTTCGTGTATTTTGGTAAATATCGCCTGTAGAAATTTACCAATCCCAAAAAGACTCCAATTCTTTTTTATTTGAAGGTGTAGCTACTTTTAGTATTTTTTCTATCAATGCTTGGTCTGGTGATATACTTTCTTTTAAAATGGAATAACCTAAAAAAAAGTTTTGGAGTTGCTTACGCATTTTTTTTTTTTATTTATCGTCATTCCCGCATTTCTTAATCTATTCAAGACTAATTCAGTATTCTCTTTTAATTCCTTTTCATTTGTAGCTCCTATGCATATGTCGTCTTGGTAACAAACCATATTTTGTACATTTCCTAAAACCTGTTCAATGGCCCTTTGAAATATGGCGCTTGCAGTTTTTATACCATATGGCATTCTTTTCCATCTTAGTAACCCTATTGGCGTATTTATCGTGGTTACTTCTTTGAAGTTTTCGTCTATTGGTATTTGGTGGTATGCCGTTTTTAAATCTATTTTTGAAAAAACGGACATCCCTGCCAGTTCATGTAATGCAAGTTCCACATTGGGTATGGGATATGAATCCAAGCACATCTTGTGATTTACAGAGAAGCAACGAATCCAAGTATCTACAAATTTTGGATCTTCCAGACACAATTGATATCCTATCGGCGACGCCATTATTGTGATGTTCAAGTTAGCATTAGTCAGCTGCTAAGCTCGTTCTTCTCAGTGACCACTTATAAGAATGTTCACTTCTGCCTATGCAAATTATGCATACTAATTTGCTAGTATTACTACAAACTGTTTTTAAAATAGTGGAGTATTTTTTTATGTTAAATAATAAAACTTTTAATTTTTCCCCTCAAAAAATAAAAAAAGATTCTTGCACTAAGCTATGCACGATAGTAAAACCAGTTGTACTTTGTACCCCCTTACCTGTTTGCACTTCCTCCCAAAATTTGGTTTCGATCGGTCAATGTATGGCTATTTTAGAGGGTGTGGCGGACAGGCGGATGGACAGACCAAAGTCACAGAATTTTATATATAGAAAGATTATGATTTACTTTCATACAGTGCAGTAGTTTTAATGCGATTTTCAATAAACAATTCAAATTTAAAACATTTTGCTTTATCAATTGTGCCTAGAAGTATTATAGTGTTATATACCCTTTTATTCTTTTGTTTTTATTAATTATCACCTAACAAATGGTGTAAGATGTTATTCATTGATGAGCCTTTTATTGTAATCTTTCACAATTTTTACAGTTTTCACTTAACGAATACGCATTTTGCTTGTGGTGTTTCATAATTAGAATTCTGGTTTTAATATATTTTCCATTCAATTTATCGAATACAAAAGATATTAACTTTATTCGGATTTATTCTTGAAACAGTAAAATTTTGAAGTCAATTTGTAAGCAAAACCTGCGGAAAATAGGTATTGCTTTAGATTTTTTCTGGCGATATTTACAACTAAATGCTCAAAAATAGGTACAGGCTATGGAACCAATTTTTGGTGTCAGTACTTATGGTATTAAACCCCAGCTTTCACATCGTGTGCAATACTGACTTTTTGCAAAAAGGGAAAAAATCAAACTTGCCCTACATCACAAAGTATTCTTGGGTATGATGGTAAACTACATCCGGCAGCAAGGCCTCTGAATCACCTCTTAATTGCTGCTGTCGCCAGGTCCACAAGGATCCGGGGTAGTATCACCTGTTAGGGTCCAAACTATGGACAAATAGTAAGCCCTCAAAAGAAAATAAAATACTGCGAAAGTATAAAAATAAATTTTTATAGTAGAAATACCAGCAATACGTTTCCTATTAAAAATACCAACAATCTATATTTGTGGTAAAGCTACTAACAATAGATTTTTAAAGTAAAATGACCAGAAATTTTATGGTCGAATTACCAAGAGTACATTTTATAGCGAAATACTCAGCACTATCTGCAGTTGAAAGCATACAATTGCATTCAAAATGCTTATCACTATCTGCATTTGAAGGCATACAATTGCATACAAATGATAATGCTCAGCATTATCTGTAGTTGAAAACACACAATTGCTTTTAAAGTGTATTTAGTTGATACCATAAAATTGTATTCCCAATATTTAGATATCGGTATTACATAATCCATAGAGGTATTGATATGCCGTCAAACATTATCAACTAACCAATCAAAGCGAACACGAAGCCCTGATCTCAATATAATTGAACTATTGTGATGGTAAGTTAAGGAACAAGTGCTCCACAGAAAACCACACAAACTCCAAGACCTTTGGTATTACTGCCAAGAATACGAAAAATATCCCAATGAGAAATTTTGGACCATGTTTCAATCAATGCCATATTCAACTAATGTAAATAACTCCATACTTTGACGTTTTTTTATTCGTTATTTTTTTTTTTTTTACTTTCTGTAATAACAAACGTCACTTTTTGCAAAAAAAAAAAAAAAAAATTTTTAATTTGAGAAAAGAACAGAAAGGTGAAGTTTTCGCTGGTGGCTCAGTGTATAAGCATGACCTGTTTTCAGCATCACTATGCTTAAGAGGCTTTAACGGAAATGTAGTAACTTTTCTGGTCCTTAAAGATCATAATATTTACCGAGAAAAGCATAATGCTAATCCTTCCGGATTTTGGAGTAACAAAAGTCATTAATATAATCATCATTTTAATTAAGTGGGCCAAAAGTTTTGCACGTCAGTGTATAACATTCTGGATAACACCTCTCACATTATATATATATATATATATATATATATATATATATATATATATATATATAGATAACTAGACTCGTTTCGAAAAACCCTCGAATTTTTGATTTGCTAATAATCAAATCAATCTCGAGGGAAAAAAAGGTTTTAAAAAAAGAAAGAGCTACAAACATGAACCTCTGCCGACAAAAAAAAAAATCGCACAGATACAGGTGTGAAGCCCAAAGAAAAAACCCGATACGAGTAAACAACTAACTAACAAAAGCGCTCAATACAACCGTAGAGCAGACCTAGATACACCTAGTGAGCCAGACAAACCTATATATATATATATATATATATATATATATATATATATATATATATATATATATATATATATATGTGTGTGTGTGTCTAGCATGAAATAACCTGTCGCCTCTGGGTGTTGACTTCAATGTTCACTTTTATATTTACACACACACTATCTCTGATATTGAGCACTTTATCCCATAAATATAACACACCTTAAGAGTATATATGTTCTAATGTTGTATATAAATCTTTTCAAGAACAACTCATTTATTCATTTAGTATTTCTTTAAGCTATTCCGGTCCCTTTTCTTGTTCTGTTAAAGTGTTAGCATATCGCGGATATATTAATTTCTAATATGGGCCTAGGAGAGTGGAGAAAATCAAGATATTTTTTGTCACTATCCAAGCACCCCTTTATGGTACCCAAGGTTACTATGCCTAGATGATTAAATATCTGTTTACTTACTAGAATTCCCATCCCTTCACGACACGTGACTCCCGCTAGAGACACGTCCCATCCTACCACTAATGTACCATTCCGCTTTCCACAAAGATTATTCGCTAAAACTCCGACCAGACAACACTGGGTTACAATTATATATCAAAAGTGTGTGTGTGTGTGTGATAATGTAAACTGTGTTTTCTTCCTTTCTTTGCCACCCACGCCTTCAAGAACTGAAAATGGTATTTTCATTCTTTATGTTCTGTCATAGTAATCGTACAAATGTACATGTGTTCTTACAATTTTTTTTATATCTACTTTTGGAGATGAACCTCATGACTAGTCTTGTTTATTGTTTCTTCTTAGATTCAGAAAGACACATGACATTTTGAAATAATCCAATTTTCGGGTAGAAAAAAAAAAAGACAGGTTTTTCATCCACAAATTTTACTTAATTCTTTAACATTTTTCTTTTTCCATTTGCGAGATTTTTTTTTTTTGAAATCCAGTTAATTAGAGCATCTGCAAGTCGAAAAGTATTCGAAAAAATTTTTCAAAAACCAAAACAAATAAATGCATATTTGTAATAATTTTCTTTCTTTATCTAACCCACCAAGCCTTTTAATTAAGCTGTGAATTTGGGGGTTAGTTTTTGCCCACAGAAAACTTACACTGACATATTTGCTGTGTATCTTCTATTACGTAGACTTAAATGTGCCCAACTATTATTATGAGTCATTTCGTTTGCGCAAAATTCTAAACAGGTAAAAACATGAATGAAGTAATGAAACGTAGATAAATATCAATGTTATTTTATTTAAAAAGGCAATGAAGTCAGTCTTATCTTCGCTAGACAATCACTTCAGAGACGACGGCAGAATACACGCAAATTCTTTATACACCAGTTAGGATTATTAAATTACTTCAGTAATAGCAAAATACTTTAATGTGTTTTTTTTTTTAATATTTATAGATAAAATAAAGCCATCGGCAAATATTTAAAATGCTTTGAATATTTGAAGACGTTCATTTAAAAGAATCACAGGATCTAAATATTAAAATGAATTCAACATTCAAAATACAAAGTTACATTTTATTTCCCATGCGACATCAGACAAAACAGTTATAAAATTCTTTAAATACATGTTTTCCTTGAAGAATGATTGCCAGCTTACATTGAAACACTGGTTTCCGTATAATCACCGAAGTTAAGCAGCGTAAAGCCAGGTCAGTACCGAGATGGGTGACTGCTTGGGAATGTCAGGTGCTGAAAGCTTGAATGTGGGAGTTGCATGTCTTAAGAAACACCGATTCCCGTACGATCAGCTTAGTTAAGCAATGTCAAACCTGGTCAGTACCAACATGGCTGTGAGTTTGGATATGCGAGTTTGTATGTCTTAAGGCCATATTACATTGAAACACGGGTTCCCGTACGATCAGCGCAGTTAAGCAACGCGAGCTTGTTAGTACCTAGATGGGTGACCGCTTGGGAATACCAGGTGTTGTAAGTTGTATGATCGGATGTGCGGCTGGTGTAATGGATAATGGCTCGAAATTGTTAATCGGAGAGCCGAGTTCCAATTCCCATTGGCTTCGTTATATTCACTTACGCGTAAATATCCTTTTGGAAAGGTATAAATTCACTCGTATCACTAAAGAATTAGTATTTCCCCCCAAAATAAATAAATAAAATTATGGCTTTAAATAACATACAAAGGGTTGATAAACCTTAGAAAACGAACTACTAAAATCTATGATTACCAAGATTAAATTCTACATTGACTTGATATTAGAAACTGATTCATTCACTAATTTGATGAAGAGTTATTTACATTTGGACTAATATCCTCATCTTTGTTATCACGTTTCGGCCGTTGTACTCTCCGGTCTTCGTCAGATGCTTGTCGATCCGGATAACCTTCTGTGTATTTAGAACTGAACTCTTTATTTAATCAACAGAGATAGATTGTCCTCGTGAGGAGACATTTGCCCCGACGGATTAAAGAGTCTTTTTTTTTTTTTTTTTTTTTTAAATGAATTTTGTGACATAGTAATTCTGAGTTCAATCCCTGGATCAAGTAGTAGAGTCTTAAACTCAATAGAAAGTAAATGAGACATAACTGAGCCGTACTAAAAAGCAGGACGAGATATCCTTAAACATGTACAACAGAACAAGAACAATCTACCAACAATCTTAAATAAAGAATTAATTTCGAAATTCCATGAAGATTACACAAATCGACGGCCATCTTAAACGAGAAGGGACAATTCAACATTGCCAACTGCTCGCCGGTGCATCCCAGGACTGAGACAATTCAGCACCAGAAAAAACGAAATAAACGAATAAAAGTAATTTATTAAGGATTAAAACCTTAATTAGTAAATATTTTTCTTCAAATAAGGCATTTGAAAAAGTATTATGTAAAATATAAACCAGTTTTTGTTCTTAATTATTTTTAATGACGTAAATCGTAAAGAATATTATTTTTTAATAAAATAATGTCAATTTACTTTATTAAAAATTACATTAGAACTTACTTTATTAAAAATAATTAAAAACAAGTATGTTTTATTAAATTATTTTTAAATGTCAACTTCTCTTTGTATCACCAGAACTAGTAAAATAACATAGACAATTTTTAGCACGTTTGTTGGTATGACGCACATTAAATTGGAAAATCTTGCAAAAATAAAAATAATTGTCGGATGTTAATGAAACTTTCAGGAACTATTTATAGATGATCAAAATTATGATAAATGTTTTTATTAAAGTCATGGCAGACATATTTTTTTATATTTATTATTCCCCCCACACATAATTAATTTTATGAAAACGCTAGAAATTCGATTGCATCGGGTTTAGTGATTACAATAGTTAAAAGCACAAGCCTTTGAGGAATGCAAATCATGTTTTGTTTTTGTTTTTAATTGGAACCCCCTATCTGAATTGTAACATACAAAACTCAATAAAACAAAGATAGTATTTAATTTCAAATGCTTTTATTTGCTTTTTTTATGAATATGGACAATATTTTCTGAAAGCAAAAAATTTTCGATGAAAAATACAAAAATTTAATACAATTATTTGTTATTTCTTAATTATAATAGACTTTTACATTTAAGTTGTTAAAATATTATAAAATTAGTTAAAAGCCGCATCGGGTTTTCTAAGTGTCCTTATGAGATAGACCTTTTTTAGAGCGTTGTAAATTGTATCATTTTGACTAATCAGAAGATCCGCAGTAATTAAGAAATGTAATTTTGTGTTTATAATCGGGCTGTAATTATAAAGTACGGAAGTTCAACCAGAATACATTAAGTTGCGTTATTTGAGTTAAGCATTGTTCTCCGCTGTTAAAGCCTTTACTTTTGCGAAACACATGTGGAGAAGTTAATTTGATTTTTCAATTTCAACTGAGAAGAGTACCTACAAGTATCAGTATCATCTTATGAAATTTATATGATCATATTTTTATATTAATCTCAGTTATGGCATTTTTTCCACAAATGAAATATCAAAATTAATAATAAAATGAATGCAAATACAAATAACACAGTAAAATGTAATAAATGTACATAAAATTATAGTATTTTATGTACACTTCTGATAAAATTTCATAAGAAAGGTACCTATAAATTAATTAGATACCTTTCTTATGAAATATGAAATTTAATCTCACTCTTAACAGTCTTATTTTAATTTCTTTATAATATATTTTCCATAAAGCATTGTAAACGTCAAGGTGAAAGCTAAGTACAAAAAAAAAAAAAGATTAGAGCGCTGAAAGTATTCCTTAATAATAACGAGGTAAATAATTTGTTCACTTAAATGTAAATTATTTCACTTTTCTCCTTCCGTAGAACAAATTATCCTCACGGAATTCGTCAATATTTTTGTTTTATTTTCAAATTAAATCTTTTCGGTGCAGAAGCTAAGTTAAGCTTGGTTCAAAATATTTTAAATAAACATTATAATTTCTTATTTTCTTAAAATAAGTTTTGAAAAAATCATAATTGATATTTAAAAGAATTTCAAAGTGAGATTTCCAGTTTTTTTATAAAATGGAAAAAAAAATGGTCAATTTTGCTGACTCAAAAAAAAAACAAGGTTTTTAACGAAAATTTCGGATGTGCTAGGAACGATTAAAAAATGTAAAAAATACCTCCAAAATACTTTGGTCTTTCCTTTTAATAATAAATATTTAGACGATAAAATTTTGTTTTCGTCAAGTTTGGTGTCTTTTTCATCATGCTATGCTCTTTTTTTTTTCGATCTCGTGGGGGTACCTAATTTTACATAATGCTTTTTCAAATACCTTATTTGAAGAAATATGTATTTAAGTTTCTGTTTCTGAGTTGTCTCGGTCTAAAACTACCCCGTTCGGACTGTTGTCCTTAACTTTATTGCCATATTCACGACGTTTCGGCCATTTTGCGCTCTGACCCTTTTCAGGTGATATACGTTGGAATTTCAAACCGAATCCTTTATTTTATCCACGAGGGCAGATTGTTCTAATTCCACGTGCCAGCCTTTTTTTGATATCATAGTATGAATTAATTTACTTTAGTAACTCAAATCTCCAAGTTTTTGTTCCCTCTTCTGTGGCCAGGTATTGAACTCAAAACTCTTTAGGTCAAGTCAATTTTTGGATTGCTTTAACCAGAGTTTTTACCTACGAAGCCATACTAATATGGCAATAAAGATGAGGACAACAGTATGAACGATGTAAATAGTGTAAATAGTTAATCTCAGAAATATAGATAGATCGTCTCTGAAAATTAACTCAACTGCTTAAAATAGTGATGGAAAAACTTGACATTAAATAGATCATTGTTACTAGTCTTCACACTTTCTCCCAACCTAGTTAGGCGAAAAACACTTAAAGAAGGTCGGCTGCTGTTTAACTTACACATCCCCCACTTCACGACTGTTAGTAGCAAGAAACGGGATATTATTTGAAAATTAATAATAAAAAGCAACAGAATATGAAAAAAAAATATAAAAAAGGAAATGGTCTCTTAGATTTCTGAAAACAATAATCACGTGCTGCACCCGACATCGAGCGAGGAAATGAAAATGCCAGTTTTAACCAGGTTTTCTTTCCAGAAATAATTTAATCTTCTTCCGACACTTAGTTGATAGGTTAATCATTAATCTAGCGCCTTTTACGCGCGCCAAGCAAGCAACTTCTGCCGAAATCCTTGGGGTTCAATCTATTCTTACCACAGATGGTTAACAAATGAGATAGGCATGAGAAAAAATAACCAACGTTCGTATATATTGGTAGAATGAACATACTTAGCCGTGTTTGTCTAGAAGAAAAACTGATATAAAAACCAAATGGATAGAGGTCATAATGGTAATCTATCAAATACCGAGTATGTTGGTAGAAAATACCACGAGAAGAGGGGTTGAAAGTTCTTGCCTTCCATAATCTCTAGGAATAAAGGAAACTCCCACTTTTGGAATATGGGAAAGTAGTGAAGATGGTAATGTGTACAACGACAGACTTTTGTTTCGGATCATATCTTACATCTGCTTTGTGGATTAACGTCAGTGTCAATGACAAGACCTTTTATATATCGTGTCCCTTTAAGACCTGAACAATCATAGTTACCCAAAGCTTTCTATCACTTGTATCACTAAGCAGTGTTTGTCACCTTACTATTTTTCCATGTCTATATTACGCCATCCATTTATATAATCTCATTAGGTATGTTACTCACTGTTTCCATTTTCCTATCTTGCCTTCAATATATACTGCGGGTGTCATATTTTTCAGCCCCCTTTCCTCATTAAGATGGCCAGAAATTTAAACTGTCTCTTTCTGATCCTTTTCAAAAGTGAACTTTTTGTTCCCATTTTCCTTATAACTTCTTCACCGCTCAAATCTTCTGTTCAAGGTATTCCCAGTATTCTTCTGTAGAACGACACTTGTTGCTTTTTCGTCGATGAAGAAATTGTCCAGGATTCAGTGCCATATAGAACGATTGACATTACATAACAAGTGAGAACTCTTATATTTGCTTCCGACGAAATTTTTCCGTTTTTCTAATAATTTGCTTATTGATTCTGATGAATCGAGTAACAAAATTAAACCTGAAATAGGACTATAATAGCGTGGCTTCTGTAATGACACTGGAACAAGAAATACAATCTTTATTATCAAAATGCTATCAGAAGGAGCATTACAAATGCGGAAGAACATATTTTGATGTTTTATAAGCTACGCAAAAGTATCTGACAGTACTACGCAAAGATTTATTTGAACTGTTAGGAAAACTTTATTCTCGAAAGATATTAGAATATCACAGAACATTTACTGGATGCAAACTGTCTGCCTGCATCTAGACAAAAAAAAATGAATTGAGCTATTACTAAAAAAACACAAAAGAGAGTATGACAGGATACGTATTCTCATCGGATTTATTTAAACTACACAGAGAAGTAATCATGCTCGGGTTCATTATTGATGGGTAGAATTTCAATAACATATACAGAGAACAC